CATTCTTTACACTCAAAAACACACACACACACACACACACACACACACACACACACACTCGTTTTGTAGCCAGATGGTCGTGTGCTGACCACCCGCAATTCAACCTTGGCTGGGTTTTGATTAGAGGTTAAGGGCCAGTGACTTTATCCTGACCAATGACGTTGCAAACCCTGCCGAGACAGGTGTGTGAGTGAGAACAGTGTAATAGAATAATCAGGCTGGCATGAATGAAAAGCTCAAACAACCAATTGAACATAAACAGTAAAGGCTGCAGCACCGCTTGCTGGTCAGCTACTGTCATTACAGCCAAAACATAAGCTTTTAAACTTACTTTTTTAAGTCTCTAAAAAATCTGGATAAAAATTAAGCCCTCTTCTCCTTTATATTCCCTCTTGACACTCAATTCTGAAAACTACTTATCTAACCTTGATTATTTTTACTTTAAAAAGTGAAAAAGATTTGGTTTTTGACATTTATTTGTAGCACTCAGTGTTTTAAATAGTTGCTCATCTACTCATAGGACATGAGGCCATTATGAAGCAATCTCATTGGTCAAATGTTGCTAGAAACAAAATATCAAACTTTTGTAGTGAGAATTACTTATTATTACCATAATGGTAGTCGCTTGGCCCAACTGTATGTAAGTTACAAAGTTTACCTTCACAAAGGCAGTCATTGTCTAACCCTGTTCCTCTCTCTACAGTTTAAAGCTTTTAAAAATAAAAAAAATTAAAAAATTAAAACTGTTACAAAACAGTGTGAACATAAAGTGCGTGGTGTCGCAAAAACCACAGCAAAGCTTACTGACCAGACAATGGGAATGCTGCACAGAAAAAGATATGAAAGGATATCACATTAAAAGCAAGACAAAGAGACAGGAAAATGTATTAAAAAAAAAATTGGTTATGATTCTTATGAAATCTTCAAAACACATCATGTGTCAACTAACAAAAACAGCAAAATAAAAAATAATATAGCTCTGTAGACACGAACAAAAATGTTCTGTAATAAAAAAAAGGAATAAAATTAGTTAATAATTAATATCATTACTATCCCACATTATAATCATTATAGATCCCAGTTGAATGTATGTATTTTCCTTTTTACAGGTAATAATTTTAACTGAACGACATCTCCGCCTCCGACAGGACAGGAGTGGTGGACGAGGAAGTGGAATCAGCCAATGAGGCAGTGCTATTGTCCATGTTCCTGTTCCAGGTGCCCCGATTGGGCGTTGACGGGTAGGAGGGCGTGGAGCAGTTGGAGGGCGGGCCCGAACCGGAGCTGGGGCTGGGGCTGGGGCTGCTGTGATTGGACAAGGACGAGAATAGGGCATCCTTTCGGAGACCTTTGTTCTGGAGCTCCATCTGAAGGTGCTGGCAGATTTCCTCTGGCAGTCGCTGATACTCCTCCTCTAGTTCCCTCTCCAACTGAGTCTGGAGCTGGATAACAAACACCAGAAAGTAATAGTTTGAAATAGAACCTAAGTATGTAGCTACAACCAGGAAGTGATTGAATTAGCTTAGCTTAGCATAAAGACTGGAAGCAGGGGGAAACAGCTTCCAATTTCTTTTTTAAATACACAAATGAACATCTCTAAAGTGCACAAATTAACACGTTGTATTTTGTTAGTTTAATCCATACACAAGTAGGAGGAGTTAAGTGCTATAACAATATTTTTTTAAACAAATGACATATAGACTTCTGCATCATTTTTCATTTACAGGTATAAACTGCCTCTGCTCTTAAATGGGTTACAATGACAGCAGCTCAGCGTGTGAATTGGTGTGTTTTTTGCTCACCATTGGAAGTTCCTCATCTATGTGTTGCAGCACCTCCCGCTGCCTCAGCATCAACTTGTCCTGTCTCCTGGTCTGAGCCTCCTCCAGCTGGCGTGTGAGAGAAAGAAGAGCAAGAAGGGAGGAAGATTTTGGAAGGAAGGAAGGAAAGGGGCAGAAAGATGCAGAAATGGGATGGAAATTTGAGGGGTTTCACACAGGAAAGGCAGGGAATAGAAATGTATGAGAGATAAGGGATGGAAAGCAGTGAGTAAGAAGGAAGAAGATTTTAGGAGGGGAAAAAAAATATACAAGGATGAGGTAAGGCAGGATGGCAATGTGGATTAGGAGGCAAAAAGATAATAAGGGAAGAAGGGAAAAGAAGGAGTAAAGTTGATGACAATGGCACATTGTACTGTACAGTAGGCAACTGGCCCTTCTCAAGGACTACTGGTGATAAGAGTGTGTGTGCGTGCTACGGTGGATACTTACCCTGCGGATTAAGGCGACAGAATCTTGAATATGTTTCCTGTTGATCTCATTCAGTTCCCTGCAGAGAGAGACAAACGGATGAAGACAAAGAGTGAAGAAAATAAAAGGAAAAAAGATGAAATATGATAGAAGTGTGAATAAAAATAAGATCTGACAGAAATAAACATTTGTATTTCCAGTTTCTTACGTTTCAGCTTTGTCTTTTTCGCGGCTCTTGGCTTCGCTGATGCTGTTTTGTCGCTTCCTGTCCAGGATCTTCTGGAGCTCTTTCTTCTCCCTGCAGACACAAAACACAGCCGAATGAAGACAAACTGCAAGTTATATATAGAAATTTGCCACTGTTGTTATTAAAAATGAGATGCTTGTTGTGAATCCAACCTGTGGGCATCAGAGTCACGTGGTGTAAAAAGGCACAGAAGTCATCTTAAAATCAACACTATTGCAAAAAGTTAATACCATAATCAGAACTAAAAGCAGAAAGTCACTCTGGCAGTGACATCTGTGTCCTGCAAGGTGAAACAGCCGCACTTACTTCTCACACGTCTCCCTGAGCTTTTTCAGCTGAGCTGCTTGGCATTCTTGGGCCGTCTCCTTTAACTTCTGGAAGGCCTAAAAACACACGGCAGCAGACGACAACCTGTCAGCATTATCACTGTGCAGATGTACCACAGTGCCACAAAGTTTCTTAGAGGTCAGCTAATGAGGAACTGTGTGTATATTTAAGAATTCATAAGAGGGACGCAGTGTTACTCCCGAGTGTGTCACCTTGAGTGTGCATTGACGCTTTTCATATGTAGGTGTGTGTCGTTACCTCCTTCAGGTGTGTTTGTTGCTTCTCTCTCTCGGATGCATGAAGCTGCTGTCGGAGCTTCAGCAGCTCTTGCATCTGCCATTCCCTCAGCTGTACTGTCTGCTTCTCAATCTCCTGATTCAACGCTGTCAGCTCACTTTGCACCGGCTCCTGGGGCTCGCTGAACACACACATACAAGCATACACACACATACACACACAACAATATACACAGTGAGGTCAGGTTCAGTTGGTTAGTTGAATTAAAACAGACCTTTGTCTTTCTTGTCAAGTTCCACCCATTAACACACTGTTTTCCATCCATCTATCCAAATATTTAATAATTCTTTTTCCTCCATTCCTTCCCCATTTAAAAGGTACTTCTTTAGATCTTTTTCCAAGCTCTAAATCCATTAATCCTTACTTTTTTTTCATGCTACGTTTGAGGTGTTTCTCCATCTGACTGCGTCGCCTCTGGGTCTCAGATTCAATCTTGCTACTCCGACTCTTCTGTTCCTTACTCAGATTCCACACCTGCTAATACACACACACACCCACATGCAAAAGGAAGTGATTTTTCTGCATCTAGTGGCAACATAGTTGGACCCAGACGTTTTCTATGGAGAGGTGAGAAATTACATGTACCTTCTTTAGGTGTTTCTTACGAATCTCTTTGAGTTCTTTGCTATGTTTCTTCACCAGCTTCAAATAACCCTTCTGTTGCTTCAACTCCTCTATAGACTGGGCAGGGGCCTCTGGGACACAGAAAAACACACAGACATAGAGTTATGGCCAATTACCAATGTAATTTATCAGTGTAAATCTTAATCTTGCTGAAAACTGGCCACTCCTGGCTGATGGTCATTAAATATAGAGTATATGACACACACATATGATTTCACTAATGTCTGTGTGCAAATGATGCTGGAATGACCTTACCTGCCAGAACAGTGGCTATGAGGTCTTCTTTCTGACTTGGTGCTACACACACACAGAAAGAAATAAAAGAGGGGAACCACACAGACAGAGTATGTGTGAAATGGATGATGAGAAAATTAACCAGACATGAAACAGCAGGAACGAACAAAACAGTTTAACATATATGTACATCTTGTATTGAAAAAAACATTTCATTAATGGAAGAAACTGGCTATGCTAATAAGATCTGAGACATCTATTTACAAGATCTGAGATCTTGTAAATAGATTACAATGGATGTTTGTGAAGTGAAGACATGCATGGACATATTATACACTATACACTTCCTTGCAGCAGGCTGATACAAATATACATGAGAGGTAAAGCAGACTCATACAATTTAGCAACTCTTTGCCTGCTACACTGCCATAATGCAGGTGTAATAGTTTTTTTTGTTTTGGCACATTACACATGGCTTTGTATCACATCTTGGAAAATTCTCAGAAAAAGCGACCAAATTGTGCCTCTAGTGTCTGATTACATATTAGTGAGGATAAGTGCAGATAAATTACAGTTGTAGGTATTTAAACATGTTACATGTAGACAATAAGACAACATTCTACCTGGCGGAGATAATTTGATGACGTCAGGAGAATCATCCAATGAGTAGGGAGGGAGGGCGTGGAAGGGGGTTGGGAGTCGACCTCCTGGAATGACTTCACTCTCTCTCCTGGTCTCTCCCTCTTTGGGCTGGTTGGTGATATGCTGGAGAAAAGCAACAGAAGGACGAATTTGAGTGATTGAGAGTCAACAATCTGGAAGACTATCACACAGTTAGTGACTTACTACCGACTTATTGAGGAACAGTGAGGGGGTTTGGGGAATGTTTATATCTTCACATCCACACGCATGTTCTGACCTCCCTGCAACTTCTTTTTTTTCTTTGCAGCTGGTTATTATTATCCAACACACAGATGTGTCTTACCTCACTGTTGTCCTCTATGAGAACAGCCAGCTGTGTCTCTCTCTTGTGCAATTGACTGATGTGCTTAATGGGGTTTGTCAGAGCCTCCGCGTACTCTAAGAATACACACACAAACACACACACAGAAAAAAAGATAGTGCCTTAATGTCATGGACGTGCACAAGTTCATATAGATCTGGACAAGTGGCAGAGATATTTGAAGTCTTTTATGGTTAGTCCAAATCAGAAGTCTTCAAGCTAATTGCAAGTAAAAGGTACTTCACTAACTTTAATAGCAATAAGTAAATTGATTTGCAGTGTGGGGCTCCCTTCAGGTCTCTGAATGCTGGCCATTATTGACATGGCATTTCACGAGACCGTGGCCTTTTGATGAATATGGTTCTGGGTTTTAAAATGTAATTATTTTGCTTTCAAGTCTCAAGTTGTCTTTAAGGAATGATTTAATCTTTTAGGAAATACACTTATTTGCAGAGAAGATCAATACCACTCTAATTTTTGTACGATAAACATGAAGCTACAGCCAGCAGCCAGTTAGCTTAGCTTAGCATTAAGACTGGGAACAGGGGAAAACAGTTAGCCTGGCTCTTTCCAACTAACAAAATCAGCCTACCAACACCTCTAAATCTAACCAATTGATATGTTATATCTTGTTTGTTGTTAATCTGTTCAAAAAACAAAGCATAAAAACAACATGTTGTTGTGGTTATATAGTGGACCATTTCTTGGCTGGGCATTGGTTGGTGGCGACCTCAACCACCCCCTAGATAACCTAGGTGGGTGGTCGTCTGCCTCGACCAGCTGCGCTGAGAGGGAGAGAGAGAACAGAGACGAGAGAGAGAAGAGAGAGAGAGAGAACACACACGACAAATGGGTGCACCACAACAACTACACTAATAGTAGTGGACTGACTGATGATGAACCAGAGAAGTTGATCGCGACGACAACAACCGATTGGGGGACAATGAGCATGTGATTAATAGTAATATAGTCGTATATAATCTACTAATAGTCCAATAACTAATATCAATAAAATAACTTCAGGTAATATTAAGCAAATGGCAGTCAAGCAGGGCCATGGCATTAAACAAAGTAGATTTAACATAATAAATTGATTAATTAATTGGTGAGCTTGTAGGCAGATTTTGTTCATGCTAACAGTTCCCCAAGTCGTCATATGGGTTCTGTGGTGCAGAGTGCTGTTGCTGGTGTTCTTACCCTGGTGTTCATTGGGGATGTAGTCCTGAGCTTCAGTGTAAACCAGCAGAGAGGGCAGGAGTAAGGGCTGATTAAGCTCATTCTTCAGGTTGATATAGTGGTAGCCTAGAGGGAAGGAAGACAGAAAGAAAGAAAGAAATGACTACTGTCTATTGGTGCTGGACAGTAAAAGGTACAACAGCTTGTAGATGACATCAGTAAAGGGATAAATGCTTGACATTACAAGAGTGCGTTTATGTGTGTGCGTGTGTGTGTGTGCACGTGTGTACTGACCAGGTCTAATGGCCGACACAGGGAGAATCCGGTGTCCAATGAACTTGCCGTTTTCTTCAAACACTGCTATCCTCAGAGAGGCCAGCGTTGGGAGGACCACCTGGAGAGAGACGGTTGTTGATGCCATGGGAGTTTAGAGAGCATGGAGTTAACAAAGGACAGACAAAGAAGGGCGAGAGAAAGATCTGAAAGACATCTGAATTGTGATGTGTGTGGATTAGTTACCTTATTAAACACAAACATTTCATCATCCCATACGGGGTCCAGCGAGTTCCCATTGGATGTTTTGGTTCTGTACTTCCTCTTTGTGTCAGCAGGAAGTCCGAACATGTCCACTTCCACGTACACGCCAACCTTTTTGTCCAAGAGGAACTGGCCTGAGATCACCTGGTAGATATTTATATTATACATTTTTATTTTACCAACCTGTGCAAAGAAATGTATGTCCAAATGGTGACACGTTTTGTTCTCACCTTAATTTTGACAGTATTGGCGACTATACCATCCACTATGTTTTCTGTAAAAGGGTCAAAGTGTTTGTCCGTCCTCCTCATGAACTCAGGTTTCAGCAGGTAGCCGCTGCCGCCATTATACTCAAACACACCCATGTTCAGCTGCATAGGGAGGTCTGGTGGAGAGGAATGGAGATATGAGGACGGAACGGAGGTGTGGTAGAGGGATGAGAAAAAGCAAGAAAGGATGGGAAAGGAGGGATTTAGAGGGATAAAAACTGAGATGCTTTAACTTGACTCCTGAGTCTTGAATTATTTATGAAGCCGAGGAGAATCCTTAAATTTTCATCTACACTACAGTATCTGCCAGCGACAGAGAGACCTTTAAGACCTTATTTATGTTTCCTGGAATTGAATCGAAAGCCTAAAAACTGAAAAAAATGAAATGAGTGGAAAAACAACTTCTTCTGGTAACTGTACACAATTTATGTACAAGTTATAAATGTCCCGTGGATACTTTGTACTTTACATGCCCAAGTTAGGCCATCTGAGGCAGAAATAACAGGACTTACCGAGTGTCTGGAAGTTTAGCGCCACCATCTGGCAGCCGACATTCCAGAAGAGTTGAGGCATGTAGTTGGAGCTGTCCACCCGTGTTCCTTTAGGGTAGATCCGGCTCAGCTGATTCTTATTGTACCTGGAGGAGTGCTGTTAAGATCCAAACACTGTATATGTGGCATATATGTGCACTGACCATTTATTACATGTTATAAATTGCAGCAGATAAAAGGCAATCATCACTTTTTTTAAAAGGTCAAAAGTAGAGACTAGGCAACATTTTTTCAGGTTTTAAGGCTTTTCCTCTCTCAATACCTCAGACAGTTTTCAGACACACCAAAGCCTATGCACACATAAACTGTATTCCACAAAAGAAGCTCAAGTTTTCAAGCAATGACAAGCCACCAGGGATACTCGACAAACTCAATAGGGGAGCTCTTCAGCGTGTCCATGCCTTTCGTTTCCACAAACGACGACATCTCAAAGAACTTCTTCCTCTCTGGTGGAGAGAAAGAATGAAAAACTCAGATGAAGAATAAGATTGTGATAAATATGAGAAAAAAAGACAAACGAAATCGACACAGGTACAGTAATTGATTAAGATAATCTATGTGCGACAGGTCTGCGCGACAAGACTGATCATTAACCGCAAATGAGTCCACACAGCCGGTCTCTCTGCCTAATGAGCTAAACAGGAGAGGTGCTTAGAAACTAACAGGGCTTGTCCATCCCCCTCACACACACTGCTTTTCTTTCACTTCACACTTTCTCTCAGCACAAAGTTACTGCATCTTCCTGTCTCCCTCTTTATCACACACACACACACACACACTTACTGTTCGCCACCTCGAAACTCTTGAATTTGACAGGTTCAATGTAGTTGACGAGAGTCGACATCTCCTCTGTGGCATTCACCTCACTGCTGGCTGTACCCTGAGGAAGGCATATACCACCAATCAATCAATCAGCCCATCAATCAGTCAGACGCCCCCTGTCAGTGTTGATGGCTCTTACCTCGTCAGAGTTCGGCTTTTTCAGCTCTGCCGCGGGTTCGTCCTCCTCCTCCTCCTCGCTCTCTCCTTCGCCTCCTGGTAGGATGTCATAAAAATAACTAATGCAAAATGTATACCACACTGGCACCCTTTCTGTTAATTCATTCCACTCTTCTTTAACCCACCTAGGGACTTGCGAGGCTCAGAGTCTTTGACCATCCTCTCAGCCAGCTTCTCCTCCCCGTTGGACAGGAGCTGACTTCCATCACTGTCATTCAATGGACAGTCTGCACAGATAACAGCTAAAGATGAGCTTCAATTTGGTACCTTAAAATCTTTTTGTTTTTGCACATATATGTGTGGTTAAAGGTCTCTGTCAGCCTCACTTTAAGCTTGTGTGTGCGAGACCCGATGTAGCTGTCAGCTATATGCCATCTTGGCCTAAAACTATACAGTTTTGCATTCTTTCAAACACTGTGTGCTGGTTTTATTTAATTATTACAACCAGACAAGCTAAATACAATGTTAAATACATCTAAACCTGCAGTTTCTCAGCCATACATGCCACCACAAGAGACGTAGGTAGTTGTTCGCGCTCACCATTGACGGGTGATGACTGCTCCTCCTGCTCTCTGCGTCGTATGCTGCCACCACTTGAGGGTCGGTGGTATTGGTGCTTTTTCTTGTTTTTAATGAGAATCTTCCCCAGCATCTCCTGTGGTGAGGGGAGCGGCTGACCAGGGTCCAGCTAAAGACACAACAATGAGGAACAAAATAATGCTAGATTAGGTAACTTAGGTAATACTTTTAAATGGCAAGCAAGGGTAGTTCAGAAAATAATCTCTAAACAGATAAAGAACTCTTTGACAGGATAAGACATCCCTTAATTTAGCATCTGAGATAAAAAACTTTTTCTTGACTTAGAGTAATCAGGAGGCGCTCTGAACAAGGTCTTAGTAGATTTGTGGACTGGCAGCCACAACATATTTTCAAATTTAATGCTACAATTTCACAGGAGTCACAGGACCAGGCAAAGTGTTTTATAACTGCATTTAAACAGTCCTGAAATCAGATCAGTCTAAAGCAGCAACAACTTTGCAGTCTTAAACTCTGTTTAGTTTAGTAGTAAAAGTGATTCACATTCAAACTGATTCATTCCTGCAAATCAAGCTGCCCTCTCCAAAACTGCAATCATTGTATGGGTCAACCTGCATTGTGAATAAACACATGATGAAATGGTTGCAGGTTTTGGCCATTGCTTACATATATTTCTTATGAATTAACACAATTCTGAGAAATATCTAGTCCTTGTGTCTAACATCCTGTTACCCTTGGTTTGGGTCAAAGGTCTTGCCATATTTCAAGTTTCAGTTAAAGAACTTGATAGGTTGAAAAAAAAAAGTCAAACTACCTTTTTACAGTTACAGTTATAAAAACAGAGAGGTTTATGAGGTTGAAAGCATCACGAGTTGTGTTTTATTACAAAACTATCAAGATCATGAGCTGATGTGCATATAACAAGCCGTTTGATCATAATTGATGGTTTTGCAAATTGATTAACACCATGACTTCAGAGTGAAAGGATATTAGTGTGTTGTTAGTTTTTCTTGAGGAACAGCAGTGAGACATCACTTAAAATGCGTTTATTTCAGACTAAAAACAGAGCTTAAATTAGTAAATTCAGTGCAACACATTGGCAAATTTCATGTCAGATCTGACTGGAAATCAGTCTTACCGGATATTTCTCCAGTGGATCAATAAGCAGGGCATCTCCAAAGATGGTCCTGCAGTACTCTGCCATTTTGGCCTGCTGCTTGGCCCTGACAGAACAAGAGACACACGTAAGTTTCTGGTTTACTTTAACCTGCCATAATGGGACGGGGCCCTTAAATTAAACCCCCACGACTTACGAATCAACATGGTTTTCAAAGGACAGGATGAGGGGGTATGGCGAGGTCTTGAAAGCACTCTCTGCTATTGCCTCAATCACCTCCTACAGTCCGAGAAAGAATGAGAACATGAATTCCACTGAATAAAATTAAAGTAGCCGGTAAAATAAACATTTCCTCAGATTGCTGGGAGTTTCATGAATGTTTAGAACCAAGATATACAACCTAGCACCTTATAAATCAAACAGCACAACTTTTTTATGCAGTTACGAAGCAAATTATTTTTTATGATAGCGGGTAAAATTATTTTAATAAAACCCCAAAATACAAAGATTTTCAGCTTTTGCTTTCTTCTGTTTGTTCAAACTGTCTGTGGCTGCTGCCTCTGGATTCAGCATGTCTGAATCCACTGCACAAAGAACTTGCTGACCAAATCGCACAAATAAACCAAGGTTAAGAGATTCCTTTCATAATTCTTATTTTTTGATATTTTAAACAGCCGGTGGAGGACAACTATGGCTTTATAACTAATACATACAAATGGACCTCTTAACTTGAATTCCACCATAATCATAAAAATACAGCTCTTCTTGTGTGCAGATGTAAAAACTCTCATGAATTGGTGATTTATTAAATCACTTTTATAGAGATAAAGTGGAAAACAGACATTTATGTAAGGCAAAAACCCCCATGAACATTTCAAACCCTTGTAAAAATGTAATGTTATAAAAGAGAAATATCTTACACAAACTCAACCTAACCAAGGTGGCACAATTAAACTAGACAGAAACATTGAAAAGGGACAATCCTGGGCGATTGAATGCACAACAAAATCATATGTGAATGCCAAAAAGCTGTGACTACCACCTTAAAGGGGATCTCAGTGGTCATGGTGAATCCGTGGGTGATGTAGGGCTCCTCATCCTGTGGCCGGCCCTTCCAGCAGTCCAGCTCTACACAGCGACAGCCAGTCAGCAACACCTGCCTGTACATCTCCACTGACGACAGACCGGTCAGCTGACCCACTGCGGGCAGGCAAGATAAGCAAAGCCGACAGAAAGTTGGTTTCGGATCCAAAAGATTAACTATAAAGCTAGATTTGGAGCATTAGTGTCAATGTGCGTGTCTTTTTACCTGTGAGGTACGTGTTGTGTGAGGAGTTGATAAAGTAGTGAGACAGCGGTTGGTTCATGTCGTCAATGACATCCAGCCTCTCTGGAGGTACGATGCTGTTTTCCTCGCCTCCCAGATACCGAGTGAAAGCCTGCAAACTGATCTGGTCTGCAAGGGAGAGAGAGAGAGAGAGATGAGGACAGGTTGTGTTTGCTGACTATAAATTTCAGTTTAAATGGACGGACCAGCATCCATCTGCTCAATGGGCGTAACTGATTTAGTGAAAGGACTGGAAGATGCTATACTAAATTAACATCATGTGCTCTAACAGTAAACTGATCCAAAAAAGCATACGGTTGTTGTTTTAGGACAGACACCAACAGACTTCTGAACTGTTCTGTGGGCTGGATAGTGGATCATCTTACAGATTTTGGCTTAACAGTATCCTAGCAGAGCGGCTCACGGTAGCCAAGGCTGTGTTTTCTTTCCTCAGTTTTGTACAGTTTATCCACTGACGACCACAGCAAAACATGTGGAGGACATTTTCGTCAAATTTGCAAAGAATTTCCTACGTTCTGGCTTTTAAAAGAGGACAAGCACTTTGCTGCAATAAAAGTGAAGGAAATCAATCGTACCTATAAACTTGTAATTATCAGAGTATTGCAGCTGATAAACCCAGCTTTGGGTTAAACAGATACAGTCTAAAAGAAGATACAGTAGAATCTACACTGAATCCTCGTTATCCAGCGAAAGAATATGATTTATGTGGAGAGCACATTGAAAACAAAAGAACCAGGGCCGATTTATATCCGCTGCTTTATTTCATCATACAATCTCACAACTGAAGACACAAAATAATGGTAAGAAAAGCACACTGACCTCTCTCCAGCTGGCTGGTGTTGGTCTCATATTTCTCCATGATCTGTCGGACCTGTTCTCTTTTCAGCGGGGGGTACAGCACCTCGTTCAGTCTGGAGTCTCGCTGCCTGCGGTTGATGAAGTCCATGAGCTGGTCCAAAGAGATGAATGGCTTCCTCTTGGAGCCACTGAAGGAAAGAGAAAAGCGTACTGAAATGAGTGTGTGCATGGGCACTGAGGTGCATGCTGGGAGCTTTACTGGGAAGCCTAAAAATATAACAAGAGCATCATTACGAAAGGATTTACAGTGGGGAGTTGAAATTTTAGTCTGTCAAAAGGCAATAAACATCATGAAAAATGACAGCGTGTGTTTGGGAAAACTTTATCTATGTGTATCATACCTTTCCTCAAAGATGCTTTGTATCTCAGGCCGGAGACAGAGGCTGTCGAGAAACTTCTGGAAGGCCTCCCACGTGAAATCATCTGGCTTGAGTCCCTCCGACTGGGAGAGAACGGAGAGGATTGTGTATAAAGATATGGAAGGAAGGAGAAAGAGGCCTGGTGGTTTCAGAGACACTTTGATCCTGTTAACAGTCAGATGGCCTCCAGCAACACTGGAGGATGAACACTGATGACATTGTCAGTCGTGGCTCAGACCCTCCTCAGTCTTCTCCCACTTTTTGTGTTCTTTCTTTTGACCAGCAGGTGGCACCAGAGTACAACAATACAGAAAGAAACGCTGACAGTGCAGTTTGCACAAGCTGCTCTCTTATTCAAAAAGGCAGGTCTTGTGACTCCAAACTGATTTTTAGGAAAGATTGCACAGACTAATAACAAACACGAAACCTTGTTTTACCTACCAAACCACAAATCTTGTGGTTGCTTACACTGCGCATAAAAGCAAAGATTCTGACAATACAATAAATAAAAACCCCATGACTAATTTTTTCATTTGACTCTCAGGTTTGAAAGAATGAATGAAAAAGTATTTTAACTTAGTTGCTCTTTCTAAGAAGCCAAATTTATAGGAAATATCCTGTGACTGAAAATGAACTAAATTTAATTCAGGTGGCAGTCTCTGAATGCGTTTACTGTAAGAGGCCACAAATTGATGTTAAAACACTAAAGGTTGATATTGTTGTCAATGTTCAGGTTGGTTTGGTCAAGTTTTCACTCCTACAATCACTTGTTGTGGCAGAAGCTGAACCCCACAACCATTACTTTTAGTTCATTATTTATCCATTACTTTGATACTAGATTTCCACTGTTCATCCATTGTTTTTGATTAATGAAATAAAATGTTTTATCCATTAAATGGTAAATGGACTTATGTAGCGTATGCCTTTCTAGTCTTCTGACCACTTTACACCACATGTCACAATCACCCATTAACACACAGTCATACACCGATAGCAGAAGCTGCCATGAAAGGCGCCAACTGCTCATCAGAAACTAAGTAACTCACACACACTGACACATCGATCAGGACACTTCGACATAAAGAAGAAGGAGCCGGGGATCCAACTCCAAACCTTCTGATTACCTCTAAACCTGTGATTTTAATGGAAACATGTGGCTTTAAACAGATGGTTTGATAGTGCCTGCGTGGTAAATATGAAGGTATGGCCAGCAGACAGGTAGCTTAGCTTAGCACAAAGACTGGAAACAGCTAGTCTTTCTCTGTATATAATATAACACGTTATTAACTTGTTTGTTTAATCTGTTAATCTTGTTGAAAGTAATTTAAAATGTATATATGTATATTTTTACCATACAGCCTACAGCCTTTTTTTTGTGCCTTCCTTAAATTGCAAAGGCATGCAAAGAATGCTATGCAACACCCCAGGGTGAGAGATTGTTAGTTATACAGCTATTATCAGGTATGAACCAATACAAGATACACATATCTTCAGTAGCTCTGTGGTCAGTGATTGCTTCTGATGATTACCCTGTTATTGAGGAGGCCACACTGCTCCAGAGCCGTCTCCACTCTCTTTTTATCTGAAAACATCTTGAGAATACTGAAAGACAGAGAGTTTGGAGAAATATTTTATCATGTAAGTCAGTAAATGCATTCACCTTTTAAAGTTTATTGTTCTCAACATTAAAATAAAAAGACAAGAAAGCAAAGTCTGAAAGGATCAACAGTGAACAGTGATAAACTAGAGATGAACTAAAGAAGAGACGAGAGAGAAAGTGGAAGAGATACAGAGAAGAGGAAAGGAAAGAAGAAGTTGAGGGCTCTGATGTACAACTTTAAAAAGTGGTTGTTTGTGTGTGTTTCTCACTTCTTCACAGGAATCTTCCCATCTTGATTCACCTGCAACTTTAACCTGGTGTACCTGAAACAGACAGAAAGCTTTAAAAATAATGATCTAAAATCTAAAACAGTTGTCTCATGTTGAGAATAGACACACACAACTTCTTACGCTTTGAGAAGGAAGGTGTTCCGTGATGCATTCTGGGAAAGTATGTTTGTGGCCAAAGTGAACAGCTCATCTGTCCAAATCTGGAAACGCACACAGACCGGAACGAGATGATAAAAACAGGGTTGTTTGACTGTTCGTCTGATGCTTAAACCGAGCAGTTTCTATATACAATATACAACACACACACGCAGATGGAATAATCCGTCTTAACTGCTAAACATGCACATGCCTCTATGTCAACATCGTAAAGTGAGTAATCAGCATATGGCCAGAGGAAACAAGGAGGCGAGTACAGGGGGCTAAGGAGGAAGGAAGGAAGGAAGGAAGAAATACTATGTGCAAATATAAGTATTGTGAGTAGGTTATGGGATGGTAGTGGCGGTATCTATGGTTACCTTGGCTGTGTCTTCCTGCATAGCCTGGAAGTTGAGGAAGGACGTGTTGACCAGGTCGTTGCCATGGACGACAGTTACCAGCTTTCCTTCTACGTGGTCACCCTTACCAAAGCCCAGCACCTCTCGCAGCTTCTGGTCCTGATACAGATACACACACACACACAACAACACACCACACACACACAACACAACACCGCACACGCCACGGCACACAAATATATTGGACACAACAGTGGTTTGACTTCTGCTTCCGAACTCCACATCCTTCCCGCTCCTTGTCCATCTCCCCGTCTCCTGAGAACAGTAAATGTGATGCATGTGGTGTAGCACTCTGATCTAATTAACCAAACGACTCTTTCCTTCTCTTTGGACGACTTTCTCATCCACCAACTCTCTCGAACACTCAAAGTCTCTCTATCAATTAGGCATGCTCTCCATCACTCCCTCTCGATCGTGTTTCTCTTTTATTTCAATTGAATAAACTAACTTGGATGACTATTTATCAAGCAAAGTACTGCCAAAACAGCGCACAAAATGTACTATGTCATTCAGCAGCGAGAGTTTAAAGGATCAGTTCAACGCAATTATGAAAAAAACAAAACATTGTTTTCAGAAACAGCAGTGTTACTAAAGAGAATTCACAGACTACTTTCTACCAAAGAAATAGTCCTCGTTAAAACATATAAAAGTTGACAGTGAGTTCTGTGGTTTCTCCAGCGACAGGAACACTGCTTCTGGATATAAATGTTTGTTGAACATTTTTGGCCAACACACTACAAATACAACATCGGTATATTATCATCTTTTAAAGCTCATATGGCAAACTTATTAACAAACAGGTGCTTATTTACATCTCCAGCTCATACGGAGCAACATTTGGAGTACTTATTTGGAGTTCTGCCACTGACAAATGTAAAGTACATAATATTCAATTCTCCTTTCAGCTCTGCGTCAAGGGCTCTATCAACTCTTGGAGGGAATCTATTTGGGACCTTTAGCTGATGAAATGCTCCACTGTATAGCTAGTTGCTAACATTGTCTGTCGGCAGTTTGGTGCTGAGCAAGAGTAAAATGAGTTCATTAGAGATACTTCTGCAGGAAACAGCTGCAGCTTAAACGACAGAAACAACAACTAATCAGTTAAAGAACACCTAAATGCTACGAATCACCCTTTTCGCATAGTGGTATGATCCATTGTTAATATGAAAATCTTGATTATAGCAGCTTTAAAATTAATTTTACAAAGCTGTGGGGTGGAAGCAGAAATCACAGAGACAGATGTCTAAAAACCTAGCCACACCATCATTCTTTTTCTCAACACTACATTTTGACATTACTCAGCAGTCTTAAGGGCACGTCCTTACCATGGCAGCCACAAAATTCAGTTTTTACACAACACCCCTAAATGTCACACAGTAACTAGACAATATTTCTGAACATGTAGTTTTGGTAAACCATGGCTAAGGCTTTATTGCAGGCATCTCCTCTTACACACTGATTGAAAGCAGAGCCGAATTTTAGTGTTCATTACTTCAATAACAGTATGTAAGTGAAGTAATAATGTAAAACGCTGCCAGTGACAGTAAACAGTCTCTTATCGTTAAACAATCTGATCCACGAGCGCGACATGAACACATCCACACGTTTGAACTGTTAACCACCAATATATCACCGTCTCTGTCGGCCACATCTACCCTCTTACACAACGACTTCCTCGCCAACAGTCACTGCTTATATCACTTCCTGTCTGACAGTCCATCTGACTGTCAGCAGGCTCATTAGCGCTCTGTCACCTTTGCACCATCAGCTGAGAGAGAAAACACACGCATACAGTGGACACACACATCTTTTGGTGACAGTCACACTTGAGCATCATTCTGATCAGAGAACAAAGTTATCAACAGCAGTAGATGACAGCTTCTCTCTCCCGCTCTCTCTCTCT